ACATGTTCACCCGATCACCCGCAGGTTCTTCCCTGTCCGCGAATAGCCGAGAAGGCAAATCGACATTTGCCATGTTCCTGCAGAGATTTAAGAAATAAAACAGAGTAAATTAGAGATCTACTAAGAAAATAAACAAACATGCATGTTTTAGAAACGGATCTATGACATATAGGTAGAAATTATGGACATATATAAACATGCAATACAGATCTATGAAAGAATGTGAATGCCCATGTATATCCATGGATAAAACATATAGATCTATAGGAAAATATGGAGGATTAAACAGGAATATAAGAATTTTTACAGATCTAAAAAACAGATGAAAGATTACAGACTATATGCATAGTAGGAGGGAACGATTATGACGCCATGTATGAAGACGAGAAAGAAAACCCGTTAATCAATTGGGGAAATTTTTTTGTCGCCGAACAGAGCATGTCAAACGAAACGGATAAAGATTCTTTCAAAAATCGAAACGAAAACAAGTTTTTCTGATGGATTAAATGGTGCCGGCTGCGCCGGGGAAAAAAACAACGGCAAAGCAATATGCGTTTGCTCACCGTACAAATCGTCTAAACGGCACCGCCAAGGCTTGAACAGTGTCACACCGTCGTCTCCGGAAGCGACAGAGGAAAGAATCAGTAGACTGGGAACTGAAGAGAGAGAGAGAGTTTTAGGGTTTTCTGAGTGAAATGGCGGGATGAGAAGAAGAGAGAGGATGAACTAGAAACGTAGCGTCAGACGCCACCCTTTATGGCCTCGAGAACTGCAAAATCAGTTCCAATGTCTCAAGTATTGGGCTAAGTTTTGGACGACCATGAAGGAGCGCGTGAGGGTATAAGAGGCTAAAAAGTGGGCTAAATATTTACAATGTTTTAGGCCCGACAAGATTATACCGAAAATTTTATTTCACCCCGATCCTATGTCTCTCACCCAATTATCTCTAAAATTTAACATTATGTAACTTTCAAACATATATCATTGGTTATACAGTATATATGCAGACGCCTGCAAGGTTGGCCCCAACTTTAGAACTGATAATATAAGAAATAAAAAAGTAGACTCACAAAAATGCCATTTTTTTAAAAATGCCCTTTTTGGCTGTCTATTTTTAAAAATACCACTTTTTATATACAAAATAACTAAATTACCCTTTTTTAATAAAAGATATCACAAATATATAAGGAAAACATGAGAATATGCACACATCAAAATTACAAATTTGATTTTATAAACACTTGTAAAACCTTTAAAATACCTTATAAAATTTTTCTCGCCAAAAAATTTTCCCGCCAATAAAATTTTTCTGCGGGAAAAGTGATTCCGCAATTTTTTTGAAGTTAAATTTTTGGCGGTAAAATTTTTGGCGGGAAAAATTTACAAGGTATTTTAAAGGTTTTTTACAGGGTATTTATAAGGTTTTACAATGTATTTTAAAAGGTTTTACAATGTATTTATAAGGTATTTATAAGATATTATAAGATTTTACAAGCTATTTTATAAGGTTTTACAAGTTATAAGGTTTTACAAGTTTTTTATAAGGTTTTACAAGTTATAAATACCTTATAAAACCTTATAAGTACCTTGTAAAATACATTGTAAAACCTTACAAAACACTTGTAAATACTCTGTAAAACCTTTAAAATACCTTGTAAATTTTTCCCGCCAAAAAAATTGCGGAATCACTTTTCTCGAAAAAAAAAAATTTGGCGGGAAAATTGCGGGATCACGTTTCCCGCCAAAAATTTGCGGGATCACTTTTCCCGCCAGAAAATATTTTGTATTTTGTGGACCTAATTTTGTTTCAAATAAGGGTAAAATGGTTATTAAAAATTAAAAGAGGGCAAACTTACAAATGAACTCTCAAAAGGGGCATTTTTGAAAAAGGTATTAAAAAAGGAGCATTTTTAACAATTTCTCAAATAAAAAAGCATTAAAAAGAAAAAAAATCTTCCCAGCTTCTTCAAGTCAGGTCCAAGAAATGGAGAAGTCATCGGTCAAACATATCACAGCTCATATACAGACGAGATTATATATAAAAGGGACATATAAAAGACATAATTTCACGGGCAGTCTAAAGGACTTTCGTTATGAATATTTCGTGTATTTTAATGTCAATTTGTTGTATGCTTTATGAAAAGAGAGTAAGAGTTCTAAGAAAATGAAATAAATAAGGGTGAATTTGTGCAGAGACAAAAACTAGACATAAAATTAGCTAATCAACAATATGGATTTTTGGTCTTTAACAAAGATAAATAAATTAGATAAATGGGTCTCGAGTTCTAAGTAATAACGAAAATGCCACAACTTTATTTGTGCATGCGCGTGGTGGAGATGTTTTTGACTTTTAAGGCATTTGGAAGAATAAACAGACATGTAATAAATGTTCACCTGTTGATAGAAACAATGAGGTGACAGTTATTAAATGCAATGACTTTATTTGAGCTTTATGAATTTTGAATCCGTAATGAAAGCAGTTTTAGACGGGAATCGAAAAATGTAAACAACTAACATAGTTGCATGGATACCTAATAAATAGTTCTTCGAATTTTTTAAACAACTAAGCTAGTTGCATAGACACCCAATAAATATTATATATGATTTTGACATTTTGTATACATATAAACAAATACATACATAGAGCGTTAAAAATAATTATAGTGTTAAATAATTCGGTCTATGTATACATGTCAATACATATATATATATAGAGAACGTTATTAACATTTTTGTACATGTAAACACATACATAGAGCTTTATTAACATTTATATATATGTAAACACATATATAGAGCGTTATTTACATTTGTATACTTATATGTACGCTACAACGCTCCGCTGCCGAGTTAACAAGAAATGGGCCAACTTCCCCGAGAATGACGGTTTGGAGTAAACATCGAGTAATTTTCCGAAGCACGGACAAATAAGCTCAAGCTCCGACGGTTGCAAAGCCTTGAGGATAACCTTGATCGCATATAGCTTAAAATACTAGTTCACTCGGTCTCCTACTGGCTCTTCTCTATCAGCAAACAAACGAGAAGGAAGTTCCAGAACAGCCATGTCATGCAGAAAGAAATAAGGGTAATAAGTTGTTAGCAAAGGATTAGATCTGGAATTATAGAGCAGTATACGGGAAGGGCTAAAAGAAAAAATAGATCTGTAAAGGTGGTGTCGAGAAAAGTAGAGATCTAAATAGATCTGTAAAGGTGGTGTCGAGAAAAGTAGAGATCTAATTTATCTGAGGGAGATCTATGATTATACTAGATCGAAACCCATAAACGGTAAAAATCGAAAAAAGACTATTCTGAAAGCGTAACATGATGGCGTTTGGAAATAGGAAAAACAAAAATAATTGACAGTGTTTATAAAACATCGAAAACCGAAAGAAAATGAGAAGCCATTAAACTCGCGAATTCTGTTCTCCGACGAGAACGGCGGTTAATATAACCCCAGAGACGACGGCTTACCGAGATGATAATGCTAATTCCTTCGGAGGGAGAGTTTGATGAAAGAAAAATCAGATGTGAACAGAGAGTGATGGGACTTAGGGTTAACAGTAGCAATCGCGGAATAATGAAGAGGAAAGAGAGAAGACACCCAAAAGTCGGACTGCGAAAATTAGATAGCTATAACACGCAACAGTTTCTCGAGAATGCCAAAATTCATTGCCTTTGTCTCTCATAATGGGCCAAACTTTGATCTACAGTGCATAAGCGAGTGGGGTTAAAATTGGACAAAAGAGTGGCTAAAATTATCGTTGTCCTAAGCCTTGTGTCAGATTACAAGAAAACTAAATAAGTTCCCCAATAATGTCTCTCACCCAATTATCCCAATAAATAATGTAGAGAAAAGAGAGGGTCGGTCACTGCCACAATTAAGCGGAAGTGGAGAATGGTTGGTATTTGTTGTGTCCTTCAAACCTCAAAAAGCTTCAATTTCAAGATCTTTTTGTTTTATTTTCTGCACAGTAGTTTTTAAAATGGTTTATTTGGTATTTTATATTTTCAAGATTGATTCCAAACAATATTTTCTAAGAAAAGTATCACATATATGATATTTAATTCTATCGACCTTGCTCTCGTAAACCAAAAAAAAAAGAGTCTCATTATCATGTGGTACGGCTAAGTCAAATTCAGTAATTCTTTATAAATTCACCTAAACAGTTAAATTTTGGAAAATTTATATTGCGGCTATATATTTCAATTTTAATATGTTTTGGATTTTTTTTCGGTACACGATTTGTAATTCTCATTGACAACTGTCTCCTTGTCTCGTGTTTAAAATAAGGGAATATGTGGTTTTGTTGTTTATGTTAACCAAAAGTTTGTAATAGAGACTGAACCAGGTTTACAATTAATAAAATTCCTTAATGGAGGGGAAATAAATCAAGAAAACAAAGTAAATGTTGCATGGATAAGAAAACACGACACTTGTCTATGCAACTTGTTTCTTTAGTTGCATGAGATCACTTTAGTGTTAAAGTCATCCCAAACAGTATTGGATTCTTCGCTATAAAAAGACCTCAGGGTGATTAGAGAGCCTTGTGAATTTGAATCATATACTCGAACATGTAAACACGTACACACATATACGTATTCATATATGGCACTAGAATAATCAAAATATTCAATTCTGAGAATAGTAGAATAGCACTGGAAAAAAAAACATTAGTTAAATTTCAGCATATTCTTGTATCTATGCCATGAACATGATAATGCTTATTTTGTGTTGGCGTATAGTTGTTTTATTGTCTGTTATTTATATACAAACTTTCAATTTAAATTTTAGATATATGTATTGACAATAGAAATACGAATATTTCTTGAGCCACTATAGCTCCTTCTTCGATCGTCCCTAGCCCCCGGTCATCAAACCACCGCAGAAAAAGAAGTAAAATATCAAAATACTTTTAACAAAATATAATATATATTAAAATACAAAACGGTATGCAATATTAAATTCAATAAAAATTGCTTCACACTGTGTGGTAACGAATAAGTTATGCGTAGTTGACACGTATCCAAAACCAATGGAGTTCCGAATGCAAGATCTTCTGGCAAAACCATCGTAGAGACAACAATGCATATTATCTTTTAAATAAAATACGATCACAATTTTTTTTTACATAAATTGCTAACAGAAAATGGTTCACGAATATCAACCATTAACATAAGTAGTTCAATATTACCCGACAAACAAGAACATAGTTTATTTATGATTCTATCTAAATAAATTAAAACGTCAAAAAGAGGTAATTACTGGTAACATCAGTTTATTGGCTATTTTGCAAAGCCAAAACTGCCATGATCATAGAAAGAGGAGCTGAGGAATCAGTAGGTCTAGATTAAGTGAATGTTTTACTTCATTTTTGTTTTAGTCAAAAAAGTTAATTTCACTAAATTTATTTTAAATCCATTAAGTGGAGGGTTTGATTCCTTCCATCACCTTTATCTTACCCTCAACTTTTTTTTTTTTGGATTTACTTGCATCCTTCTCCATTAAACAAACCAAACCCAAATATATTGTATATTATTTTATAATTATGACCATACAAATGTGGTAGACTAAAAGTTAATTTTACGTGAAACAATCTATGTCATTCTTTGAACTCTCTAGAAGAATTTATTGTTCGTTAACATGTAAATCGATATTCAATCAATCCTTAAAATTTGTTATCATTACCTTGTAGAGGATAAAAGACAAAATCAATTCTACGTATGATGTATTGGTATTGGAAACCCACATTTCAAAATCAACTTGCATATTAAGTAAAGGCAAAACAAACATGCATGATTGATTAGTCTTTATTCCACCACTATATTACTAGCTTTATAAATTCTTGGAATTAATATCATCTTTAGTGCCCTAAAAACAAAGAATTAAAGCTATTTTTTTCAGAGGAGAAGAAAAAAAACAATGTCATTTCCTAAGAAGAGCATAAAGAAAACGGGAAAATCACATTTTTAACCTTCAAAGTGTCACTGAGTATCACTTTAAACCTTAAAAGAATTTCACTAACACTATAAACCACTAATATAATTTAACGAACACTTTAAACCTTCAAACTAGGTTTTCTGTTTGCATCGCCATAAAAAATGATAGAACAATTAATTTATGTTTGTTTAATATAAATTTATTTAATTTAATTTAAATTTTAATTAATTTTATTATTTATTTTGGTCGGACGGTGAGTAAACGAAGAAGATGAAGTTTTTTTTTTAGATTTTTATTAATTATAATAAATAATAAAATTAATTTAAATTTAAATTAAATTAAATAAATTTATATTTAACAAACAGAAATTGATTGTTCTGTCATTTTTATGGCGGCGCCGACAAAAAAAGTAGTTTGAAGGTTTGAAGTATTAGTAAAATTATCATGGTGGTTTATAGTGTTAGTAGAATTCTTTTGATGTTTAAAGTGTTACCCATTCACGCTTTGAATGTTAAAAATGTAAAGAAAACTACAACATGAAGTCATTTTCTAATAATAAAGAGGGCCCAAATTCTTCTTTCTTCTCACCCAATTGGACCCTTCCTCAATCCCCTCTCCTCTCCTCTCCTCTCCTCTCTTTAAATTCCGCTAATACCCTTCTCACTTTCACTCTTATATTTCATTAAAACCTTTTTTATATTTCCTCTACCTCAAAGTTTGAGAGAAAGAAAGAGAGAGAGAGAGAGAATGGTGGGTTCTTGAAGCTTCTCACATTATTTTCTTCATCGTTCAAGAAATCAATATATGATTTGATGATGTTTCCTTTTATAGAAATATATGTCTTTTTCTCAAAGTCTTGTTTTGTCTTTTTTGTTCTTTGCCATGTACTTACAGGAAGTGGAAGAAGAGGTCTCAAGATGGGAAGGCTACGCCGATTGGAGAAACAGAGCCGCCGTGAAAGGCCGTCACGGTGGCATGCTCGCCGCCTCGTTCGTCTTAGGTCAGTTCGAAAATTCCAAATTTACCCCTCGATTCTATTATGCATCTTTTTCTTTATCAACCACACATTTATATTAAAAACGATTCTCTAATGGATCATTGTGATTGATTTATATATACTTTTCTTGTGAAGTGGTGGAGATATTAGAGAATCTAGCGTATTTAGCGAATGCGAGTAATCTCGTGCTATACCTAAGAGAGTACATGCACATGTCTCCATCGAAATCGGCAAATGACGTCACCAATTTCATGGGCACAGCTTTTCTCCTAGCTCTCCTCGGTGGTTTCCTCTCCGACGCTTTCTTCTCCACTTTTCATATCTTCCTCATCTCAGCCTCCATCGAGTTTTTGGTAAACATCTCTTACTTATTCTTATATTCACTTAACTCTTTTACATTTTGCTAATCCTTATAATTTCTAAACTCAACAATAAACAACAAATCAAACTAGCTCCACTTATAAAAATATTCAGAAACTTTCTTATCCATTAGATTGCTTTAATTAGTTTGTTTTCTCTATCGCTTAAGTTTTAAGTTATTAGCGTTGACCTTTTTTTAATGGCTAGCCACAACAATCATAAATCCGTTCACATTAAAATAGATCCCACATGTATATCTATAAAAATATAGCATAAAAGAAAATTATCACATATGAAAATATGGTTGTAGCAAAAAATCCAACGAACCATGCGTGCATTAGGATGCTGATAAAAAGGACAAAAGCAAAGAGAGGAGCGTGACTTTGATACGGTACCGTATCTATACGCAATGCTTTGTTTTGATCCTAACACGACACATACGTGATAACATCTATAAAAATCCGTATGTTAAGGTCGGGACCCAAACGTATTTTTATTAGTTCTGTCACTGTCGCAGGGTTAAAAACAAGGAAATTTAAAACTCTTTCTTGGGTTTCAGTAACACAACGACCTTTTTAATTTTTTTTGTTATCTTGTCTTTACGTTTGATAGGGTATGAAACTATAATGTCCACTTATATAACATCTGCCACTCGTACCCTCGTGACTCTGCCACTTAATGTTACAAAAGACAAAACAAACTTGTAGTTCTTAAGTACAGTTGGAGAGCTCTTAATGCTACCCACAAACGCAAACGCTCTTTCTTCTACTTCCCATCATGGGTAGATAGATACACTATCATAACTTCATTATAAAACTTCTAAGAGATTACAAGAAAAAATATATAGCTGATTTAGCTTATAATTTCACTATCCAATTACGAGTGTTTTTTTAGTTTTATATAGATTTTAGTTATTTACTTGTATGATCAGCCCGGCTCAATATATTTGAGAGCCTTAGGGCAAAAAAAAATTTTTTGGCCTATTATTATATACAAAGAGAAAATTTACTTAATTTTTAAAAATTTTGCGGAGTTTTTATAGTAAAAATTGTTATTTTAAAAATTTTGGGCCTTTTTATACATTTTATTATAAATAATTAGGTCTCTTAAAATATAATTCTCATATTAATAATATTTTTAAAAAATATTTGGGCCTTTTTTATATGTAAATTTTTTTATAAAAAAAAAGCCCCGGGCCGTCGCACTTCCGCCCTACCCATCTGAGCCGGGGCTGTGTATGATATGAAAGTATTTACTTTCCATGAGTCATACATTCATCTCGAATCAACATATCAATATATGATTGGATAATATATACTATAGTAGAGTCCAAAACTTTAAAACCCTGATGGTACGTCAGTGTAACCGAAGTTATTTCTTCAAGAAAAGGCAGTGGCCAATGAGAAGACCACACGAAAATTAGGTTTTGTCCATACCTCATTTAATAACGACGTTTCATCGTTCATAACGGTTTCAATTATTTGTATCACGTCGCTGATCTGACTCTCACGAACCACAAGGGTTAAACTCTCTCACGTGTCCCTGGTCCCATTCCCATACTATTCTTTGCAACTCCCAAGAAAAAACCGTCGTCTATTATTAATGATTTTAACAAATCCAATTTAGTTAGCCAATATGATTAAAATGTGTTTTGGGAGACGTGCACGTGCAGGGATTGATCATACTCACAATTCAAGCTCGTACACCGTCTTTAATGCCTCCATCGTGTGATAGTCCCACGTGTGAGGAGGTGAGTGGTTCGAAGGCAGCGATGTTCTTCGTGGGATTGTACCTAGTGGCTTTGGGTGTGGGAGGGATTAAAGGTTCATTACCATCTCATGGAGCAGAACAGTTTGATGAGAGTACACCTAAAGGTCGGAAACAGAGGTCAACGTTCTTTAACTACTTCGTGTTTTGTCTTGCTTGTGGCGCACTCGTGGCGGTCACGTTTGTGGTTTGGTTAGAAGACAACAAAGGATGGGAATGGGGATTCGGTGTTTCTACCATTGCTATCTTCGTCTCGATTCTCATCTTTCTCTCTGGATCAAGATTTTATAGGAACAAGATTCCATGTGGAAGCCCTCTCACCACAATCTTGAAGGTTTGTTTTGACCTCTTTAATTCTTGATTTGGAGATTGACGTGTGCCCTAAGTTATGTATATGATATGTTTGATTCAGGTTCTTCTTGCAGCTTCCGTTAAGTGCTGCTCGAGTGGAAGTTCAAGCAATGCGGTTGTGAGTATGGTCGTGAGTCCCTCTATTCATTGTGTACCAAAGGGGAAAAAAGAAGTTGTTGTTGAATCACAAGGAGAATTGGAAAAGCCGCGTCAAGAAGAAGCCGTGCCTCCTCGGGCACAACTAACTAACAGTTTGAGAATCTTAAATGGAGCTGCGGATGAGAACCCTGTCCATAGATTGTTAGAATGCACAGTCCAACAAGTGCGAGACGTGAAGTTGTCCTGAAAATGCTTCCGATATTTGCTTGCACTATCATGCTTAACTGTTGCTTAGCTCAGCTCTCTACATTCTCCGTCCAACAAGCTGCTTCTATGAACACAAAGATAGGAAGCCTAAAAATTCCTCCAGCTTCCTTACCGATCTTCCCCGTCGTTTTCATCATGATCCTCGCACCTATCTACGACCATCTCATTATCCCATTTGCTAGAAAGGCAACCAAAACAGAAACGGGAGTCACTCATTTACAAAGAATCGGAGTAGGTTTAGTTCTTTCGATATTAGCAATGGCGGTTGCAGCTCTGGTAGAAATCAAACGGAAGGGAGTGGCCAAAGACTCCGGCTTGCTTGACTCGAAAGAAACCTTGCCCGTCACTTTCCTATGGATCGCGCTTCAATATCTTTTCCTAGGATCAGCTGATCTATTCACACTAGCTGGACTATTAGAGTATTTCTTCACAGAAGCACCTGCCTCTATGAGATCTCTAGCGACATCGCTATCGTGGGCTTCCTTGGCAATGGGGTATTACCTAAGCTCAGTGATCGTATCCATAGTAAACAGCATCACAGGGAGCTCAGGCAACACACCTTGGCTCAGAGGAAAGAGCATAAACCGTTACAAACTAGACTACTTCTATTGGCTAATGTGTGTTCTTAGTGCAGCTAACTTCTTGCACTACCTCTTCTGGGCAATGCGTTACAAGTATAGATCAACAGGTTCGAGAAGCTAAAATTGGGTGGTCAACTTTTGAGTTTGAAGGGTCTTTTTTTTTATTAGAGCTGAAAATGTTTTTACTTAAGCGGCTGTTATATAGGAGATGATAAATGGGGGCACGTAGTGATGTTGTGATCAAGTAAATATTGGGGGTTTGGAGTTTTTATCGTTGGACAAGGAATGTACAGCGAATGATATTAACTTGCTTTAGTCTTACTTTTGAACGGTTTCTTGTGGTGCACGAAATTGATGAGTGAAGCTGTTATGTTTTGATATATTCACAAAGGTTGATTTTGGAAACTCTGTGACTACTTACCTGTGTTGAGCTAATTTGACTTCATACGTTGCTTTGATTCTCATCAAGAGGAATTTGAGATAAATATTGTGGTTGTCATTTATGGTGTGTGAAATTGCTGAGAAAACGACGAGTAACGAGGCCCAGTGATTTTTAACATGGCCTGGAAGATAATAAGGAAACAAAGCCCATTTATTTTGGTTTTGGTCAGTCAAATAGTTGTATATAATAAAGTTATAAACAAAATTGTTTTTTTTTTTCCTTGATTGAATTTGAATCTCTCTAAAAAAAACATCAGATTATTATGATTGACCTTTATCTTATTTTCTTGTTTGTTTTGGTAAAGTTTTTAAAATCGAGCACCGCTAAGGCGCTAACTATTGAAAAGCACCTAAAATAAATATGTCGATAAAAAATAAATACATCTTTTTCTTTCTGACACTAAATTTATCTTTATTTTTTATTTTTAAATCAAGCTAGATTATTTCTCACAAGGCCTTTTTAGGGTGAAAATTTTAAATAAATCTCAAAATTATGACAAATTATTAATACTAAAATAAATATAAAACAGAATTGTCTTTTTATAAAAGAACTGGATAAGTAACAAGTTATATCTTTTTATTCTCTCAACTAAAATCTCTTTTAAATAGAAATAAAAGATAAATCCCAAGAATTTATTACCAAATTTCGTCGTGATATAATAACCACTTATTAGCTGTTAAAAAAAAAATAACACTTATTGATTGATTGCCGAGAGAAGCAAAAAGGAAATCCCAACAATAAAAAGCAAAAGATCTTACTCATCATAATAATTCGTTAATTGTCAAATTGCTAACAAGTAAATTCGCGGAACCTTCCTTCGTAATTTCCTCCAACTTTCTCTTTATTTTTTTTCTTCTGCTTTGCTTATTATAATTGCGTCTTTGCTTCCTCCTTTACCTTTACGCGGCACATAGATTATTCTCTCCAAGTGTGTAATTTCTCTTCTTTTTAATCTAATTTTGCTTTGTTACTGTTGATTTTGTGGATTTCTGTTTCGTGGACCCTTTTTGACTCCATCAAATTTAGGGTTTCAGTCTTCGTGTGTGTGAATTTTGATTTCTTCTTTCTCTGGATTCTGGTGGGTTCTGGGACTGGTAGGGTTTTAGGTATTTTGTTCAATTCTTTAGGTTTTATGATAATTAAAGACGAATCCTTTTTGATGATTGAATAATTTTTATTTTCTGCTAGTATTTTAGAACAGGGTCAATTTTTTAAGGTCATCTTATAGAATTTGAGTCTACTTGTCGTTAAAAAATGCTTAAAGAAATGTTTTTTTAAATCTTTTTCTCTTTGACTTAATGTATTGTTTAGATTCTTGACTTGTTTCTTACTTCTTGTTTTTATCCCATAAACTAGGTTTTGATGATGTTTTCAGTTGTAAAGTTTTGTAATTTGTCATGGTTTTTGAAGTTTTGTTTACATTTGTTTGATTGATTTCAGGAAAAAAAAAATGGGTCAAGCTTTGGGTTGTATTCAAGTTGATCAATCGAATGTAGCAATCAAAGAGACTTTTGGGAAATTCGACGAAGTTCTTGAGCCGGGTTGTCACTGTTTGCCATGGTGTTTGGGAAGTCAAGTCGCTGGTCACCTTTCCTTACGTGTTCAACAGCTCGATGTTCGCTGCGAGACAAAAACTAAGGTCTCTTGACACTTACTCATGAATCAATGCCTTATTCGTTTTGTGACATTGAAGGTTGTAACAATTTTTGGTTACTTTGTTGTTTAGGATAATGTGTTTGTCACGGTTGTTGCTTCCATTCAATACCGGGCCTTAGCGGAGAGTGCTCAAGATGCTTTTTACAAGCTCAGCAACACAAGGAATCAGATTCAAGCTTATGTCTTTGATGGTTTGTTTCAATACTCTTTCCTTTTTTGCTTCTTGATGTTGTTGTGTTTGCCTTATAATAACATATCCGTCATTGATTTATCTATGAATAGTGATCCGAGCAAGTGTACCTAAGCTGGATCTTGACTCAACCTTTGAGCAAAAGAATGACATTGCAAAAACTGTTGAGACTGAGCTTGAAAAGGTAAACTACTTTCCAGTTTCCAGCCATCTCCTTGAGCAACAATTTTGAAATTTCTGCAGAAAATTTTTATACATAGATTGGACTCTAACTGCTGTTGTGTATAATAGGCTATGTCGCATTACGGGTATGAGATTGTTCAGACACTGATTGTTGATATCGAGCCTGATGTGCACGTCAAGAGGGCAATGAATGAGATCAATGCTGGTAACTTTCAACTGTTGATAAAAAAGTTTTCGACTTTTATTTGCTGAGATTCTTACGATGTTTTGTTCTGTTTCTTGTGGAAACGTAGCTTCTAGGATGAGAGAGGCAGCAAGTGAGAAAGCTGAGGCAGAGAAGATTCTGCAGATCAAGAGAGCTGAGGGAGAAGCTGAATCGAAATACCTTTCAGGTATGGGTATTGCCCGTCAGAGACAAGCCATTGTGGACGGTCTGAGAAACAGTGTACTCGCCTTCTCCGAGTCTGTTCCAGGAACGTCTTCGAAAGACGTGATGGATATGGTTCTGGTCACTCAGTACTTCGACACATTGAAGGAAATTGGTGCTTCTTCGAAGTCAAACTCGGTGTTCATACCGCACGGTCCAGGTGCTGTTAAGGACATTGCTTCACAGATCAGGGATGGTCTTCTTCAGGGTAACTCTGTTGCTGAGTAAAGAGGTCTCAAAGTAGAAAGGCTTTTCAGGGTTTAGAGTTGTGTTGTTGCTTCTTAGTTTATCTTTAGAGGTTTGACCTTCTATTTGCGAAGTCTACATGGATTCTTACATTTCTTATCGCTTCTCTGTTCTACTTCTAGGCTTGTAAACTGGATCCACTGTCTTGCTTTGTGGGTTTGTCGATATAGTTTGGGCTTGAAAATATGACTTGTTTTGGGTTTTAATAGGGGAAATTCACAAATGCCTCTTTTTCAATACCCCTTTTCAAAAATACTCCATTTGGCTATCTATTTTTAAAAATACCCGTACAAAATGATTAAATTATCTTTTTTTTTAATAAAAGATATCACAAATATATAAGGAAATATAACAAAATTGGGTCCACAAAATACAAAATATTTTTTGGCGGGAAAAGTGTTCCCGCAATTTTTCCCGCCAAAACAATTGTAAAAACTTGTAAAACATTTAAAATACCTTGTAAAATTTTCCCGTAAAATTTTTACCCGCCAAAAAATTTTCCCGCCAAAAAAAATGTTTGCGGGAAAAGTGATTCCGCAATTTTTTTGGCGTTAAATTTTTGGCGGGAAAAATTTACAAGGTATTTTAAAGGTTTTTTACAGGGTATTTATAAGGTTTTACAATGTATTTTAAAAGGTTTTACAACGTATTTATAAAGTATTTATAAGATATTATAAGATTTTACAAGCTATTTTATAAGGTTTTACAAGTTATAAGATTTTACAAGTTTTTTATAAGGTTTTACAAGTTATAAATACCTTATAAAACCTTATAAGTACCTTGTAAAATCTTTTAAAATATATTGTAAAACCTTACAAAACACTTGTAAATACTCCGTAAAATCATTAAAATACCTTGTAAATTTTTTCCGCCAAAAAAATTGCGGAATCACTTTTCCCGCAAAAAAAAAATTTTGGCGGGAAAAATTTTTACGGGAAAATTTTACAAGGTATTTTAAAGGTTTTTACAAGTGTTTTGGCGGGAAAATTGCGGGATCACTTTTCCCGCCAAAAAATATTTTGTATTTTGTGGACCTAATTTTGTTTCAAATAAAGGTAAAATGGTCATTAAAAATTAAAAGAGGGCAAACTTAAAAATGGACTCTCAAAAGGGGTATTTTTGAAAAGAGATATTGAAAAAGGTGCATTTTTAACAATTTCTCTTTTAATAACGCAGATTTAATGTGATTTTTTTGTCAAGAAAGTTTTTATTTTTAAACTGAAAAGCTTAATGGAAAACTTAGCCATAATACGACGGTGATTTTAGCATGTGGTAAAGCAAATATCCTGATTTTACTGAATAACACCCAGATTGGTAACATTTGTATAGATGACTTAAAACTACGAAGTACGAAACATTTTAATTTAATATTAAAAAACAAAAGAAACAATTAAAATAACGTTTTATAAAGAAACATTTAACTTGATAAACAAAAAGTAGCTACTTTTTAAATCGGGAAAATTCCCAAAAAAAACCCAAACTAATTTTTATTTGGACGTTTAATACCCAATTCTTTTTGATTGGAATAAAAATACATCATCTAATTTTTTGTGGTCTTAAAATACCTTGTATATAAACTATTGGTGGAATCGTACCTGCAAGTTAACAGCCGTTAACGGGCGTAACGGAATTATTTAACGGTGTTAAATTTTGAACTCATATATTTTAATTGCTATATGTAACCTGTTTTTACCGTTTTTCCGAAATAATGTTATGGCTTATTGGTAACGTGTGGCTTCGAGGTCCAAAGGACTCGGGTTCGAGACTGAGTTAATGCAAGTGTTTTTTTTTTTTTTTTTTGGTCCTGTTACTCTAACTCTAGCCGCCGGGGAATTGGTTTCAGAATTCCGGCGATAGTTCTCGGCTATTGGGGATAATTATAACCGTGTCTGGGTAATAAAATCCGATAACGCAGTCTCCGAGCAAGAAGACACGATCTTCCTCCTTCGAGATCGGGAAATCGTTCTTCAAGACGAAGCTTTGCTTCAAATTCAAGACGAATCTTGTCTCTACTCCGCGAGCTCTTGCCACTTTTCTCAAAGCACAAAGGAGCTCCGTCATCCACCACCGTCTAATCGGCATGAGACAGCGACAAAGGCATCAAATAATTGGTGGTCGGCGGCTAGGGTTAGAAAAAAAAAAAAAAAAAAACTTGCGTCTACTCGGTGTCGAACCCGAATCTTAATAGGAATTTGGAACCAGACGTTACCAACAGGACACACATCATTTTCGTAAATTAATGAAAGCAGCTTGGATATATCGATTAAAATATATGAGATCAAAATTTAACACCGTTAAATAATTCCGTTACGCCCGTTAACTGCTGTTAAGTTATGGGTACGATTTCACCAATAGTTTATATATAAGGTATTTTAAGACCACAAAAAATCAGATGATGTATTTTTATTCCAATCAAAAAGAATTGGGTATTAAACGTCCAAATAAAAATTAGTTTGAGTTTTTTTTTTGGGAATTTTCCCTTTTTAAATCTCTACGGTACCAAATTACTGAGGTTTGTCCTTCACGATTTCAGAAACAACCATCTCAACGTTCCAAACTCATCGATCAGCCACGTAATATAATCAGAAAAAAAAAAACACAAAATAATTTCTTTATATCTGAGGGAAAAAATAAAAAAATTCCTTATATTTTATATTTTATATATTAGTATTCAAATCGTATATAAATAAGTGATCTATTTATATTTTAGCCTACCGACGTCGCAACGAACGCGGCAGGATCCAAGCTGACGTGGCGTATAGTTGATTGTAACAGGTCCACGCATTATTATTCGAATCTCGATAAAAAAAGATCTTTCCTTTCACCAAACCAAAAGTTATCATATCTCTCTGCAAAATAATATTTTCGTAAAAAAAAAAAAAAACTTTCAACGACTCTAAACCTCTTCTTCAGTAACACTCGCTGCAAAAATATCTTCTTCTTTTTTTTTTTTTTTTTAATGTTCTTCTGCTCTCTCTCTCGTTCACGAAGCTGCAATGTCCACCGTTCCCATTGAGTCTCTTCTCCACCATTCTCATCTTCGTGACAACTCAAAAATCTATCGCGGAACTAGAAGCTTCTTCATACCTTGCTCGTTGAATCTCCCTTCTCATTTTACTTCCAACAAACTACTACACTCAATTAGAACAAGCGTCGGTGCTAGCTCGAAACATAGAAGGTCCGTCGCGATTCGTGCTAGCTCTTCCGATACTGCCGTCGTGGAAACCGCTCAATCGGATGATGTCATCTTCAAAGAAAATTTCCCTGTTCAACGAATCGAAAAGGTTTTCTCAATTGCCGTACACACTCACGTTTAGCGTAATTTTTTAGTTGAATCGAGTAGATTCTTTGATTTTTGGAATCATATGTTTTGGTTTGTGTATGTGTGTTTTTGCTGAATTTGATGGTTTTGATTTCGATTTTGGGAATGATAGGCACAAGGAAAGATTTATGTTCGATTAAAGCAAGTGAAGGAGAAGAATTGGGAGCTGAGTGTTGGAAGTAGTATTCCTGGAAAATGGATTTTGCATTGGGGAGTTTCATATGTGGGTGATACTGGCAGGTAGAAGTTTCCTCATTTACCTTTTTTTTATTTTTGGTTTCCTCATTTACATTAATGGGAAAATTTTATTCCCTTGATGGTCTCTACATTTTCAATTTGATAGTGAATGGGATCAACCTCCGGAAGATATGAGACCTCCTGGCTCAATTGCTATCAAGGTACTACTCTGGAGTTTTTTTCCCTTTTGGTTTATCGCTACTTTGGATATTTGTAACATGTTGTTATGTTGTGTATCAGGACTATGCTATAGAGACACCTTTGAAGAAGTTATCCGAAGGAGATTCATTTTTTGAAGTTGCTATTAATCTAAATCTTGAGAGTTCAGTTGCAGCTCTCAATTTTGTTTTGAAGGTTCTGTTTGCTTAAACCCTTTGTAACAAAGTTGATTGTTGGTTTGCTTTTAGTTGTGCATTTATTTTGGACTGTTTGTGTTCCAGGACGAAGAAACTGGGGCGTGGTATCAGCACAAAGGGAGAGATTTTAAGGTTCCTCTTGTGGACGATGTTCCTGATAATGGAAATTTGATTGGAGCAAAGAAAGGATTTGGTAAATTGCTCGGCTTTTATGCTAGATATCTACAACTTTTGTCTGGACTACATGTTTTGCATTCTTATACTTAGGCATTCTTTCACTTTTGTATGTATTAACTATTATTTTTTCAACGATGTATAATGACGGGAAGTTAGTATGGCAACAGACTTTATTGAATCTTTAGACTGATTGAGACTTGCTTTCTCTTGGATCTCTAGGTGCCATTGGGCAGCTTTCAAACATCCCTCTCAAACAAGATGAGTCCAGTGCAGAAGTTAAAAAAAAGAGCAAGAGCTCATCTGATTCTACGAAAGAAAGAAAAGGTCTTCAAGAGTTTTATGAGGAGATGCCAATAAGTAAACGTGTTGCCGATGATAATTCAGTCAGTGTCACTGCAAGGAAATGCTCTGAAACATCTAAGAACATTGTATCAATTGAAACTGATTTACCGGGTGACGTTACTGTCCACTGGGGAGTTTGCAAAAATGGCAGTAAAAAATGGGAAATTCCATCTGAACCTTACCCTGAAGATACATCTTTGTTCAAGAACAAGGCATTACGCACTCGTTTACAGGTACGTGTAGAAGTAGGCAAGATTCACATGTTCAGATTTGAAAATTTGGCAAGAATCACTTGTGTTGTGTCTCTCTAATTTTAGTCTGTGAGATTCAAATTAGTTCTTGGTTAGCACCTGGCGCAATTGTCCAAGCAATTTGCAGGTTGTGCAGGCTTGGTTTTTAACTAAGCATTAGAATGGTTAGCAACACAATGTATTCGGTTCTTCTTTTCTTATGCACCCTGTTAGACATTTTCTTCATACCTTTACCACGTGATGCCGTCACTATGTCTTTGCTGCTGCTTCCAGACATTTTTTGGGCACCTAGAGATCATTTTCATGTTGGCACCTAAATATTTTGCTTACCTTACCTATTAGAATATTTTCTGTTTCTATCAGTGACATTACCTATGTGTTTATGCATATGAACATTTTGCAGCGAAAAGACGACGGAAATGGATCGTTTGGATTATTCTCTCTGGATGGAAACCTTGAAGGGTTATGTTTTGTTCTTAAGTTAAATGAAAATACTTGGCTAAATTATAGGGGGGAAGACTTCTATGTCCCTTTCCTTACTTCAAGTAGCTCGCTCGTTGGAACTGAAGCTACTGAAGCTGCCCAATTGAGTAAACACACGCCAAAAACAGATAAAGAAGTGTCTGCTAGTGGATTTACTGATGAAATCATCACTGAGATAAGGAACTTGGCAATTGACATTCACTCTCACAAGAATCAGAAGACAAACGTAAAAGAGGTGCAGGAAAACATTCTACAAGAAATCGAGAAACTGGCTGCGGAGGCATATAGCATATTTAGAAGCACAACTCCGACTTTTTCTGAGGAAAGTATTTTAGCAGAGGCTGAAAAGCCTGACATTAAAATCTCCTCAGGAACCGGCTCTGGATTTGAGATATTATGCCAGGGATTCAACTGGGAGTCCCATAAATCTGGGAGATGGTACTTGGAACTTCAAGAAAAAGCCGATGAGTTAGCTTCACTTGGATTCACTGTTCTGTGGTTACCTCCACCGACAGAATCTGTGTCACCTGAAGGGTACATGCCTAAAGACCTGTATAACTTGAATTCCAGGTGAGCTCTGCATTTTTACCAGACTGTCTTTTGTAGCTTAGTTGCTTAAAACTTCGTCATGAATAGTTTAATCATAAAGTAGGATTCTGGTTGAATGTTGTTTTTGTTGCCTTAAATGCATGATCAGTCAGAAATCAACAATACTTATACATTTACACGATTGCATTTATCTGAAGTACATGTTTCCCGCCTCTTTTTTGTTGCAAACTTTCAGATATGGAACTATTGATGAGCTAAAAGATACGGTGAGGAAATTTCACAAGGTTGGGATCAAAGTTTTAGGCGATGCTGTTCTGAATCACCGCTGTGCACACTTCAAGAATCAAAATGGTGTATGGAATCTATTTGGAGGACGTCTAAACTGGGACGATAGGGCAGTAGTTGCAGATGACCCTCATTTCCAGGTATTACTTTCCTTTCTTTGAATTTAAAATAAATAGCTATAGAACAATAAAAGAGGCAAATTCTTTGATAGAGAATGTAACTTTTTGCTGTTATATGCTGCCGTATTATTAACTTGGACTTATGATCTCTATTACCCTTGATGATATAATCAACTAATTCATTGATTCAGGGTAGAGGAAACAAGAGCAGTGGAGATAATTTCCATGCTGCTCCAAACATAGATCACTCGCAAGACTTTGTTAGGAAGGATATCAAGGAATGGCTATGCTGGATGATGTTAGTTCCCCTGTTATGTCTTTAATATCTGCTGATTGGTTTGGTGTCTGATTTCATTCGCTATTTCGGTTTCACCTGCAGGGAAGAAGTTGGGTATGATGGATGGAGGCTTGATTTTGTAAGAGGGTTCTGGGGAGGTTATGTGAAAGACTATATGGATGCTAGCAAACCGTACTTTGCGGTTGGTGAATATTGGGATTCCCTAAGTTACACGTATGGAGAAATGGACTACAATCAAGACGCACATCGTCAAAGGATTGTTGATTGGATCAATGCAACCAGTGGAGCTACTGGTGCATTTGATGTCACTACCAAAGGAATTCTTCATACGGTACCTAATAATATTCCATCTTGTAGCGTTTGATTCAACATTGCGTATTGGTGTATAATATCTGGTAGCTTTCTGTGTATAGGCGCTTCAAAAATGTGAATATTGGAGACTCTCAGACCCAAAAGGGAAGCCTCCAGGTGTAGTTGGATGGTGGCCTTCTCGTGCTGTAACATTCATCGAGAATCATGACACTGGCTCTACTCAGGTTTTCTTTCTCAGCATTTTAATTTCCTCAAGTATCCGTTCCCTTTAAATAAACAGTCTTAACTATTTTTTCCGCTTTTTTTTTGCAGGGTCATTGGAGATTTCCGGAGGGGAAAGAAATGCAAGGATATGCTTACATCCTGACTCATCCAGGAACACCAGCGGTTTTCTTCGACCATATCTTCTCGGATTATCATCCCGAGATTGCTGCACTTCTCTCTCTCAGGAACAGACAGAAACTCCACTGTCGAAGCGAGGTAAAGTAGTATCAAGAACTTACAATCTTTACACAAAATTCGACAGGTCTTAAAACCAGCCTCCTTTGTTTTCTTGTTTTTTGTGAATTATAAAGGTGAACATAGACAAGAGTGAGAGAGATGTGTACGCGGCTATAATAGATGACAAGGTTGCAATGAAGATCGGACCAGGGCATTATGAACCACCAAACGGATCGAAAAACTGGTCTGTAGCCGTTGAAGGCAGAGACTACAAGGTGTGGGAGACATCTTAAGAAGAAGGTAATTTTTATGTGTAGTAAGTAAATAAAAAAATTTCCAGGAGGAAAATGTTATATATATTATTTCAGGGAAGAACCAGAAATAAGCTTGGTGGGACTAAGACCAGATTTAAGATTTGTCTCAATTTTTTCAGTACTGAGAATATTCATGTTGTTGTATTGGATGCTTGTAAAGTGTATGCATATATATGAAGAATATGTGTTAAGGTGAATAGAGTAGTCAAGAAGCTATATTTTGTCACTGTAGGTCTGTGCCTCTGTGCCAAGAAGTATATTTCTTTTTCAGCTTCATGGTTAGTAAGTAGTAAAAGATTAACATTCATCCAAATTCTTAAAAAGTTAATGTTGAGTTTTGTTTGAGAGATACCCTAGTAATATTATTTTTAAAAATATATATTTCCAAAATTCCAGAACTTCTTTGTTTAGCAACATGATACATAATGAAAAATTTGTTATTTAGGGTTGTTAGAACATTCATGATCTTTTCCTAAATTTTCAGAAATCTATACTAAACTTGGAATTTGTAGTTTAGATAATTTGTTACTCAATCAATATAACTAAACTTCTATGCCAATCAATACAATTTAATAAAGGAGTGGCGTTCAATGGATGAGTTGACTTATTTAATTAGAGGGATGGCATTAGTAAGTAACAGTGATCGTTTTTTCTCTTTCTTCCTCTTCTTCCCCAATATTTTTTTTTAACACTAATCAATTAGGTAGAATGAAACTGTATTTTTTGTACGTTTGCGCTATATTTTTTATCAAAGGACTAGATAATCCGAATTTTATATATGTATAAGAAAACTAATCGTCTACCAGATTGATTAGTAAACTATGCGTTTTTTTTTACCTATTCATGCTCATGTTTTTTTTGATAACCCAGTGTCCAGACCACACAGTGATCTGACTAGCCCACTGGGCCTAAACCCGCGTGCCTGGGATTTTTAAGCCACCACTTAAGGGTCCCCGGAACTGGTGGTCTGAGACGCTGCGCCCCGCAGGTAAATTGCGCAGTGGCCGGGACTCGAAGCCGGGTGGCGGGTGCCTCAGCCGAGGTTCCTTTACCACCAGGAAACAAGTACCCGGTTATTCATGCTCATGTTTGTAGTATGGTTCCGATGATTGTTGATTTGATCATGCGGAAAGATATATCTGGACTTCCATGCCCAAGACGAGTTATGTAATTGTTTTTACTCTGTCAATAATATCCGGGAGATTTGTCTTTAGGTCTTTCACCAAAAAAAAAGACTACAACCACAATAATTTTATTAATTAAATATCACAATTTAAAATACAAAAACTAATTGTCGTTCGGTGTATCGTGGATTAAACCCTAATTTAATTATAAAACGTAAATCACACACTTGATAAACTAAAAAAAAATACATATAATTAATTGTTTTTACTAATGTCACCAATATGATTTTGTGTTTACATAACATCTAATATATTTTAAGCTGGAAAAGTAAAATGTTGAAAGATGAGCAAAACAAATGTAAAATATAAACAAAACATAAGAAAAAAAATTGTACTTATGTTTTTTTCTATTAAATAGTTGTTTTTAACGCGGTTTTGAAATCAAATAACGTATATAGTTCTTAATTGTTCTTCTTGATGTAGAACGTATGCATGTAATATGGCGTTGAGAACATGTTCTTGAGCTTAGATGGTGTTTTCCTTAATGTTTATGAATCATGGACATTTATTTATTGTTTTTCTTGATTTTATAATATGTATTACATCTAATGTTGATCTAAAGAAGAAAGGAGCCTTATCAGTAGGCGTCCCTGGAGAAGCTACCATGGAAGCAATTAGTGTATCCCGCCGAGAAACTCTCATCTCAAGGATTTAAGATCTCAATGTATCTCTACATGCATATGAACATGACTAGAGGCAAAATAATACCAGACAAAGGTCTCTCTAAGCTTAAAAAACAATATTATATAATTTTATTTTTATCATCTTATGTGAGTTTATCTTGTTTGTCATGGTGTTTTTGTTGCATTTAGAGTACTAGTGAGTCTTGTTGCGTTTTAGCAATCCTAGAGTGCATTTGTCTTCTTTTGGCCTTTTTGTAGTTATGTAGATGCTTAGGAGTGCCTTGGATCAAAAGGGACGCATGGAGCTTGAAGATATACACTTTTAAATGCAAACAAGGATGATGCTTATATATATATAATATATGCATACATGTTAGAAGATTATGTCGGATGGAGATTTTTCTGTTGTCTGATCAAGCTCGAATTTGGACACGGTATTAAAATTGAATTAGTTTCACTCTGAATCGTTAAGCCCAAAACCACGATTTGTGTTTTGGATTTGGTAAGATACTTAATGCGAAAGTGTTTTGAAATTCGTTGGAAACTACTAACTAGACGCAAAAGTCAAGCAAAACAAATAAAAAATATTAACCATTCTTTATTTTTATGATTGATTCATAAATAAAACTGAAAAATATTTTATCCTCTTTATAACTCTTTCAATAGTCAAATTTTCTAACCTTAGCTTCTTTCGATAATGTTTTTCTTATATGCATAGGCATAAAAGTTGCAACATTATACAGTTGATTTAGTGGAATGAGTGGAACGAACAACTTTTCTGATCTACCGGTTAACCAAACATTTTCGATGTGGTGCAAATAATGGGAGAAAATGTTGTATTTTATGATATGAAATTGACAACATGAATCCCAGAGAAGAGATCCATTTTTAAATGTGAATTGCAATTTTAATCAGTTTATCCTACTTTACATACACACATATAATGATCGGTGAAGCCTTCACAAGAACCACCAGGATAACCTTGAGCATGACAGTAATCAAGACATTTTCCATCTTTGTCCAAGCCGGTTGGATCGGAGCATTTGTTTCCGGTAAAAATTGGTGATTCTATACACTCTGTCAATTTACGTTACAAAAGATTAACAGAATTGTTAGTTATATGAAAAAGTAACAAATGGTATTTTCTGTAAATCAGGCAAGCACACCAAGTTTGGATGTATAATTATATTTAATGAAGAATTTCAGATAAAAATAAATAAAATTAGCTATAATCAAATTGTAAGGTTATTTGAAAGGCAATTAATAGCTAGATGTCAAAGAAATCGTTCACCTCCGCCTGAGAGAATACATAGACAAAGAACCAAGAAAAATGAGACTTTGTTAGATTCCATTCCTTATTTGAAGCTTTTTTTTTCTTTCACAAAATACAAAATACAAAATATATGAATTTAGACAAGGAAGGAGACTTTGTTAGACCCCGAATATATAAGTTTAAAAGAGTTTTGTTTGGATTCTATATCATAATAACATTTTAATTTTTGTGGATATCTTTCTATTAAAAATAGTGACAGCAAATAGAAATATATCTTACCTTTTAACCAAAATAGTAGTTTTGGTATTTTCCTAAGTTTGTATTGAAATATGTTTTGGGATTATTATCTAAAATGCCATTTTTGTTCAATTCTTTTTCAAATTTGCCATTGTCTCAACATTATTTCAAATTTGCCATTTAAAAAAACTAAACATTTGGGAAGTTTTGTTTACTTCATAAAACACATATTTCATAACAAAAACTATACCCTAAAAAAACGGGAACCTAATAAACCCAAGCATCATGTTTAAATTTATGTTTTAGTATATAAGAAAATCGCAATTTTGAAAGTTTTTTTGACAATATGGTAAAATCTATAAAACCCATCAAAATAAGTCCTTTATTCGTAATTGATTCAATATGTTTCAATTATTCTTAAATTTAAATATTAGTTTTGGCCAAGTATTTCTATAATTGTTTATATTGAAATATGTATATATTATTCTTAAATATGTTTCTATTATTCTTAAATTTTCATCAAATCCAACATTAATTTTTGGTATGTAACCAAAAATATTGTAAGTTTTAGATTTGATAAATTTAAGAATAGTAGAATATACCTTGTTATACAAAAACTTCTGGTTGAATTTGATGAAAATCATGCCATTAGTTGTAAAATCGCACAATAAAATTTGTGTGTTCAAAACATGATTACTCATAAGTACAAGGCCCATCAAATATGGAAATTAGCAACCAAATACCAAAGTCTATTAACAAAAGTTTACGGTCCATCAACACGGTTAGAAAATAACAACAATCGAAAAATAGATAAATGGAGGCCAAATCTATCTTGGTAAAAAATGGCAGCATTCATTAAGCTGCACCAACCTTTGTTTAGTGACATCATAAATAATGTAATTTTCGTGACAACAATTCATGATTCTTTCTTAAATTTTCAAAAATATTTTTACTTAACTTAAAATTTTGTAGTTTAAATCTGGAGGGACTGCAAAGTTATATAGAGTAGGTTAAACAACCTTTTGTCAGGACACATTCTTGGATACCGTATACTAGGTTTGCCTTCCCCCTCATCGGGTGGTGCTGCAATGATGCTTGTAAGTTTTAGTTTTTTTTTTTTTTTTTTTTTTTTTTTTTTTTAAACGTGAAGATATCACATTTTGAACCAAACATATGATCTAATGGAGTGAGTGGAACAAACAACTTCCTCTCTTTTTTTTTTGGGCAAAAAACAACTTCCCCTAAGGCCCTAACTACCGATTAACCAAACATTTCCGATGGTTGCAAATTATGGGCCTAAACTCACCCTTAAATCATTAAATTTATAAAGTATAGTGTTCTTACTATTATGATAAGAGATTGACAAGAACATGTATCCTGGAGAAGATACATGTTGATAGCAATTTAGATCAATGAGATGTTTGTTTCTACATAACATTTACACATATGGCCTTCACAAGAACCACCGGAATAACCTTCACTACGACAGTAATCAAAACAACTTTCTTCTCTGTCCACGCCATTTGGATCTGGGCATTTATAGTTGATTTCTCTTGAAATTGGTGGTTGTCTACCACACTCTATCAGTTTATGTCAAAAACAAATTAACATAATTAATACCTAAATAAAAAATAACAAATAGTATTTTCTATTAATTAGGCAAACACACCAAATTTAGATGTAAAATATATTATGTGAATAATTTAAATAATTCGAACAATTATTTAGTTAAATATCAAATTGTAAAGTTATTTAAAAGGAAATTAATATATGTTAAAGAAATAGATTACCTGCGATTGAGAGAACACATAAACAAAGAACCAAGAAGAATGCGACTTTGTTAGATGCCATTTTCTTATTTGAAGTTTTTCACAAAATACAAATTATATGAGATTAGACTGGGAAGGAGACTTTGTTAGATCCCAAATATATAAGTTTAAAATAGTTTCATGCATTATACATTTATAATAAATTTTCTAATATTTATGGATATTTTTCTATAAAAAATAGGGATATTCTTACTTGAAAAAAATCTAACTATCACATACTAGCTAGTTTATTTACTTAATTGTGTATAAATATATTTCTATTATTCTTAAATATTTATATATTATATTTGGCCAAATACTTCCATAGTTGTGTATTGAAATATGTTTCTATTATTCTTAAGTTTTCATCGTATGCAATAATAATTTTTTTTGTATGTATACCAAATAAAATATAATTTTACCATTCTTATATTTATCAAAAATCTAAGAACTTCATTTTCAGATTTGATAAATTTAAGAATAATAGAAACATATTTCATTTGGTACATACAAAAATTATTGTTAGATTTGATGAAAACAATTCATGGCATTAGTAGCAAAAATGTACAATGAATGTTTTTTGTTTGTTTTATACTTTTATATATCAAACCAGGGAAAAAATATACAAAACTTAATATAAAATTCTAAAAGAAACTCAGACAAATCTGTCACAATTATCCAAAAAAAAAAAAAAAACATGAATACTATCTAAGAATAGTATTTATTTTTTAAAAGGTTTGAAAAAGATTTATTTGTGTTCAAACTAGGCCCGCAGGCTGGTTTGACCCGACCTTGACAAACAATGGATTTGAACTTTAAAATATATGTCTACAAAAAATCGGGCTTTTCATACTAAAGAGTTTTTGGGGATTAGTCCGGTCAGGCTCGGACCGGCCCAAAAAACCTTGAAAAACGTATTTTGACTTTTTTTGGTTAATATTTTCGTTTAATTGGTAGATTTGTTCAAAGATTTTTTTTAATAGAGTTGAAAACCCAAAATCCTGTTTTCTAATTGTGCCTTACTATAAATTTAAACAGCAAATCTTGTTTCTACTACATAGTTCAAAGTCTTCTGATTTTATATTTATTTGATATGAGTTTAAATAATTTATTAAATTATTTTTTTGATTTTAACTTTTTCTTTTAAACTAAATTGGCTTTGGTAGTTATTTAAATTTCGATTTACTCGTTTTGTAAATAGATTTTTTTTTTCAAAAGATATTATAAATTAGAAGTTTGTTTTTTCGTAAGAAAAGCCCAAAAAACTTCCGGAAAAGCCTTGTAACCCTAACAGACTTTAAAATATAGACTGAAATTTTTACGTTCCAAACCAAACCGAATGCAAATAGGGAAAAATGTCAAAAAAATTCTCGAACTTTCAAATTTGGGACAAAAAAAGCATGAACTTTCGAAATGTCATTTAAATCATGAAGTTTAGGTTGACTTTTTGACAAAATAGTGAAGTTTAGTTTGACTTAGACATTTCGGGCATGCCGTTAAATTTCCGTTAACCAAACGATAAAGATGTTAAATTTCCGTTAGAACTCTCCGTTGAGTCCAAACGACGTCGTTTTAGTTTCAAAACGACGTCGTTTCATTAGAAAATAAAATGAAAAAACTGCATTTGTCGAGAATCAAACAGCTGACCTACTGGACTAATGAGAGGTGCTCAACCGTTGCGCTACGATAACATTTTTGTATTGTACCAATACCGAACATATATATACTAACAAAAAATATGTACAATTAATTAAAACAATATACAATTTATTAACAAAAACAAAACTAAAAAACAATAACCAAACATATACAAATATTAAATATACTTCCATAAATTTATATTTTGAAATTTTTAAATATTTAATTTTATATATAAAGATTTCTTCTTTATTTGGAAAATTGTTTTTTTTCCTAAATTATAAAAAAAAAAAAATGAAACTTATAGAATATAGTAAATTAAATATATAACATAAAATTTATACAATCTTTCTCACATAAATATAAAATTTATACAATTCTTCTCACATAAATATAGGATTAAAGATTGTATAAATTATAGGATTATAGGATTGTAAAAATTTCAAAATATATATTTATGGAAGTATATTTAATATTTGTATATGTTTGGTTATTGTTTTTTAGTTTTGTTATTGTTAATAAATTGTATATTGTTTGAATTAATTGTATATAGTTATTTGTTAGTATATATATGTTCGGTTTGGTACAATACCAAAATGTTTTCGTAGCGCAATGGTTGAGCACCTCTCATTAGTCCAGTAGGTCAGTTGTTTGATTCCTGACAGATGCAGTTTTTCCATCTTATTTTCTAATGAAACGATGTCGTTTCAGAATTTCAAAACGACGTTGTTTTGACTCAACGGAGAAATCTAACGGAAATTTAACACCGTTAACGTCTGGTTAACGGAAATTTAACGAAATTTAACGTCGAAATGTCATTTAAATCATAAAGTTTAGGTTGATTTTTTGACAAAATAGTGAAGTTTAGTTTGGCCTATCAACACATAACACGGTTAGAAAAAAAAATGACAATCGAAGAAAATAGATAAATGGAGCCAACTATATCTTGCTCAAAGTCGGTATCATTCATAGGCATGCAAAGTTGCAACAATATACAATTGATTTAATGGAGTTATGGAGTCAACCAATTCCTTTAACTACCGGTTAACCAATTATTTTTTATATGTCGCAAATTATGGGCGCTTAAATCTTTAGATTTGTAGTTACTTGTGTAATTGTGTTCCATATTATTTGTTAATTATTCTTAATATTATGATAAGAAATTGACAAGAACATGTATCCAAGAGAATAGATACATGTTTAAATGTAAGTAGCGATTTAAATCAATGAGATGTTTGTTTATCCTACATAACATTCACACAGATAATGATTTTTGTAGCCTTGACAAGAACCCCCGAGAAAACCTTGTTCATTACAGTAAATATAACATTCCGCTTTTTTGTCTACACCGTTTGGATCTTCGCATTTTCTTCCTGTTGGGTTTTGTGCTTCTCCA